ACACAGTGACATACTCTCCTGCTGGCTCTCCAACTCTGGGCTTGCTGGCAGACGGCACTGCCATAACAAAGTGACGCCTGTCACAACAGCACAAGATGGTTGCTTGATGAGGTATTGCCTATCACAGAAGGAGGGAAGGAGACCTTCAGCCCCCAGGGGCTTCCTCAGGCTTCTGAAACCCAGTCCTAGCTAGCTCTGCCTTTTGTGGCCAAGCCCCAAGGCCTGGGTATGACAAGCTTTGAGTGTACGACCCACACTCTGTGGCTGGGTACTACCACTGAGGTGAGCAGAAGCATCTCTTATCTTACTTTGTCATTAATATGATGTCAAGAGTGCTGGGAGGCCTGGTGTGGGTGGCTCATGCCTGTAATACCAGCACTTTGGGAGGCCAAATAGGAGGAACGCTGGAGCCCAGGAGTTCAAGACCAGCCTGGGCAACAGATGGAGACCCCGTCTCCACAAAAAAATTTTTAAAAAATTAGCCAGGCATGGTGGCATGGTGGTGTGCCTATAATCCCATCTATTTGGGAGGCTGAGGCAGGAGGATTACTTGAGCCCAGGAGTTTGGGGCTGCAATAAGCTAGGATGGTGACACTGCACTCTAGCCCAGGTGGCAGAGTGAAACCCTATGTCTAAAAGAAAAAAGGGTGTTGAGAAACAGAATAGTATGGTAGTTGAGATCATGGAGCTTGGAGTCACACAGACCTGAGTTGAAATCCCCATTCTGTTGTTCCCCTTGAGCAGATGATCACTTCACTTCTCTGAGCCTGTTTGCTCATCTGTAAAATGGGGCTATTGATATACAGGGTTGTTATAATGATATAGTAAGATAACTCTGATTCCACAAGGATTGATGGAGAGCCTGCTATGTGCAGAGCACCGAACTAGATGCTGGAAATCCGGTGATAGTAGACAACACCTCTGTTCTGGTGGGGCATGGCACGCAGTGGGATCCAACAAACAGCAGCTATTTTTGATGGCCATTATCATGCCCATCTTGGCACTCTGTCTCTAAATTAGCCATGGGAACTGGGGAGAGCCCCTTTCCTTCTCTGAGCCTCGGTTTCCTCAACTGTAAAATGATGGAGTTGAACTGGATCAGTAGCTCCCAACCGTCCCACCTTCAAAGACGTTTTTAGTCTTTTTCTTCCATACAAGCCTCATATTTGGTAAGTTTTGTCTCCCACACAACCTGATCAAGTTATTTCTTCCTTTTCACTGATGACAGCCTCAGATTATAGCCATCACAGCTTGTGATCAGAACAGACCAGTGTGGCCACCCATTGTTTGTATAACTACCCCCCACCAAGCAGAGACCAAGCCAGTTTGGTCACCCTTCACACACTATGTGGTGTTTTTCTGGGTCCTCTGGAACATTGGTGAGAACTCAGGGGCCCCCTGCTGCCCTTGGGGACCCTTTAGCCAGGGATGTAAAACAGGAACTCACTAAACTAGATACTGTCCTTTAAGTCCCATCCAGCTTGGCCATGCTGAGGGCTGGACATGTGGTGGCACTTGTACGCCCCCAGGGAGATCTGAACTTCAAGCTGCTTCCCACCCAGCTTTCCTCAGAGCCCTGGTAGTCTCCTGCCTACAAATGAGAGAGACCCCCTGTACTATTCTCTCCAGGAAAGAGAGGGGAGGGAGGAGACACTCTGTGCCACCTGAACACTCAGATTCCTGGGGGTTCTGTCATCAGCTGGGACCCCCACCTTGGCTGAAGGTGCAGGAAGGGTACACGTTATGTGCCTGAACAAAGGCCGTGACAATGAGTAGCAGGCAGTCGAGACTCCAATGGGACAATAACATTTTGAAACATGTTTTTCATTTTTTCCTTGGTGTTCCTTGGCCCTTCCCTTACAAAGATAGTTAGGGTTATTCTATTATACATTCGTTACTTCAGGAAGCGATTGATACAACAGAATGCAGAGTCCATTTTTAGCTTCCAAATTCCAAAAGCCTAGATTTCAAGGAGGAATGGAAAGAATTTCTGTGCAGATACAAATTTAGAAAACTGTGTAACAGAAGGATCTGGGAGGCTGAGACTGGGTGGGGGGCGTCCCTGAAAATGGAGAAGCTTCTCCTCTGTCTCGTGGCTGTGGGTATCAGGTGGGCCTCAGGGACTGAGAAGCAGAGACAGGCTGTGCTCCTTTTCCTGAGTGAGGCATCAGGAAGGTAACATTTCCGGAGAAATGGCTGTGTGCTGCATGTGGCCAAACAGGGCCTAATGCGCCAAAGACCCAAGAATTTCCTGGGCCTCACGTGGCCTGGGGAAAACAGAAAATAAAACACGCACACCTAGAGGAGTCTTTTGGTCAGGGAGAGCAACACAGCAGCAACCCTCACGGGCTGATGACAAAAGACCACAGCAAAAACGAGAACATTTCTGTGGCTGCTAGTGTGATCAGAAGACCACCAAATCAGACTACCCTCCCCATGCTTTGGCACCTGGACAGGAAGTGCCCTAAAATTCAAACAAGGAAAATGGAGAAACTCTGAATTGACTGCAACTAAGTTTCTGCCACTCTGGCTGAGTAGGGTGAAAATAGGAATTCAGGTGAGTTAAAGAAAACTCTAGCTCTGTTTCCTACACACCAGAAATTGGAACCAGCTACACTCTTTGCCCACAAGCCTTGTATCATTTGCCCCACTCCCCCCATCTCTCCACCTTTACGTGCCTGCCTCCCTTTCATCAATAGGCATGATATGTTATTGCCCTAAACCCACAACTTTCCTACCTCAGGACCTTTACACTGGCAGTTTCCTCTGCCTTGCCCTGGCTCTTTAAGTGGCAGGCTCCTTCTCAGTTTAAATTTCATTTTCTCAGACTACACTTTGCAGATATAACCGCCTCTATTATTCTCCCTCAAAAGGCCTTGTTTCTTTCTCTCATGTCGTCTGTAAATATTTTTACTTTTTTTTGTTTATTATCTGTCTCCCCCACTAGAATGTCAGCTCCTTGAGGGCAAGACCCTTGTTCCTTTTGACGTTCCCTCAGTTGCTAGCCCTGTGCCCGGTTCATAGTTGGCACCCGAGAATTACCAGTGGAATGGCTGACTGGTGGCAGTCGGGGAGTTCCTGGCTTCCCATAGGCTGGTGCACACTGAGCTCCCTCAACCCCTACCGGGGCCCCTGACAGCCTTTCCTGGCAAGCCAGGATCAGAATACAAAAGACCCACATCCCTGGGGCTTGAAGACTAAGCTGTGCTCTAACCCAGGGGCTTGGTGAGAATGTCCGCGCAGGGCCTGGCTCCCCTTGTTCTATTCCATCTTGCCGGGGCCTTGCTGGGAATGATAGAGGTCCCACTGGGGCCTGGCACATGATGCTTAAGGAATATATCCTGAACCTCTCAGCAACCCACGCTCACCCTACCACTTCCCTCGCCGGCTCTGCTGAGGATGTAGAAACCCCTGGTCATGATTTTTTATTTTTTAGAGGCAGGGTCTCACTTTGTCACCCAGGCTGGAGTGCAGTGGCACAATTATAGCTCACTGCAACCTCGAATTCCTGGGCTCAAGTGATTTTCCTGCCTCAGCCTCCCAAAGTGCTGGGGTTACAGGTATGAGACACCGCCTCCGGCCCCTGGTGCACTATCAAATTTGCAGAACTAGACCTTTCCTCTATGCCTAGGCTGAGCCTCCAGCTATGCCCCCTTCAACTCTGGAAACGTGTAGACACGTGAGAAAGGTCTGCCATGGAGGCTGCTGTGGGGACTCCTTGCCAGTTAATCTCTCTCCCTACTTGCTGAGGGTATGGGGACATTTCCACATTGACGACCTCCCTTCTGGGCCTTCCCTGTGGTTTCTCTTACCAGCAATCACCTTGTGGTGTTGGTTTCCTTAACTTTAGTTGTCAGAGGGGCCTGTAAACTCAGAGAACTGTTTTTGTCCCTGCTAGGACCCTCTGTTTTCTCTTGAAGGCAGAGGGCAGAGTCTAATGGGCTTCCTGGCCTCTAGACAATGAAATACAGTATGCAGAAGAATCAAGGTGGGTGGGTGGGTGTTTATGCAGATTCTTGGATCCCAGATTCTGGTTCAAGTCTGGGGTGAGGGGGACCCAGGAAAGTGCATTTCCTACACACACCCTAACTGGTCCTGATGAGGTGGTCCATGGATAACACTCCGACAAAGACTGAGCTAGAATGTGAACGCTGTGACCTTGTGCCACGAGTGCCCACATAAACACTGCTTCCTCAAATCTCCCTTAAGAAATGAGAGCATCTTAAGAGCATCTTAAGGTCAGGGGCCCTGCCTCATTCAAAATTCTGGCTCAGCGGTTCTCAAACTGAATTTCATCTTTGTTTTTCTTGACCACTTCCCCCACTAGATTACTTTTGAACCTCCAGAAACGTTCAAATCTTTTTCAATAACGTGTGCTCAGCACAAGGCCTTGACATGGCAGGCACTCTGTGGATATCTGATCAACACAAACTCTCTGGTTCCACAAGACAGAGCTGCTTTCACTGATATGGTGGTTTGCCTGTGGCAGGTTTAGAATGACCACATGGCAGCTGCCACAAAGACTTGTGTTCTAACCCTGAAAAGCCCCTCTTCCCTGAGGACTCAAGGACTCTCAGAATCAGAAGCTGGTTTCTTGCTGTTGGCTGAGCTCCCACACTCAAGGGGAGGGCCCATCATACTCCAGCCTCTGAGCTTCAGGAAACAGCAATGAGACTAACAGCCTCTTCAACAGAGAATCTGAACGGAAAGCCACTTTCCACCGGACCAGACTGAAGTACTCTCCTGTAATTCTCAAACTTTGCTACATATTAGAATCACCTGGGAAACTTAAACTCCTAGTGCTCGGGCCACACCCCGTACCAATGAAATCTGAATCTGAGGGTGGGACAGGTGATTCCAATGTATAGCCAAGTTTAGCCCCAGCGAGCCCTACTTGGACAGGGAGCCCAGCGCACAGCAGGGAAAGCATGAGGCATGGACTTATTTGTATCCAATTTGGTTTTATGAGAAAATGAACACAATTGCAAGAGAAATGGGGACAGTGAGGGGTGTCTCAGGCTGAGCACATTTACTAATCCTCACTGGGAGAGGGGTGAAAACTATCTGACAGATTCCCTAAGTCAGCAAATCAGAGATTCAGATACAAATGATCAAAAAGGGGGATTGTCATCTATCCCAAGGCCACAGACAGATACATAGGATTCTGGATCCAGGGTGAGTCTGGGAGGTTGAAACCCTGTGAAAGGCAGCTGTGATAGGTGGTGTCTGTTGGACACCAGTTTCTGGGCTGGCCCTGTTCCTTTCCCAGGTTCTGGGCAGGGAGGGATGGCAGGGAGCTGGCTCGGGACAACAATGGGGGAACCTGAGTTGGGGCTGGAGCGTGCTGAGGGCACAGCCTCACTTAAATTTTTTGGAGGGGAATTCCCGCCGGCCTCGGCCCTTGCCTCCAAAGTTGCGCACCCGATGGACGATCTGCAGCTGCTGCTCAATGGTTGCAGTGATGTTCACGTCATCTGGGATGTGGACGTAACGGACGTTACGGCCGGTCACAAAGAGGTCATCTAGCTTGACGTGGTGCCCCCAGCGGTCCGTGTAGGTGACTTTGGCCAGGCGGATGTTCATGAAAGCATCGACATTTTCTATGCGTCCATGGGCCACGCTCTCATCCCGCAAGTCCACAGTGGTCACCTGACCCTGGAGGCCCTGCAGCAGGATGACCAGGCTATTCTCAGAGATGGTCCGCTCCTTCAAAGAGTAGCTCATTGCCATTCTTCCACGCCGCTGGCTGCTCGCTGTGGGCAGGAGCATACAAACGGCAGCTGGAGCAGGCTGGGGGTGCAGCTCCCAACTCACCTCCCCCATGTTCTCAAACGAAACTCCCAGTACAGACCTCCCCAAGCCTGACCACCTCTCCAATTTTTGTGTCTGTGGGCACAGGTGTTTCATGAACATGTTTCATAGAATCCTCACACCACTTTGCAAGCCAAAGATTACTTATACACATTTTATAAATCTGAAAAATATGGCTAGGATGGCTGGGCATGGTGGCATATGCCTGTAGTCCCAGCTACTTAGGGGGCTGAGGTGGGCGGATTGCTTGAGCCCGGGAGTTCAAAACCATCCTGGGCAACAAAGCGAGACCCTGTCTCTTAAAAAAAAAAAAAAAAAAAAAACACAAAACTATAAGAAAATGGTGAGCATTTCCAGTAAGTCAGGGACCAGAAAAGGATGCCTACTCTCATGGCTTCTAATCAAGAATAAAATGTAGGTAATGGCTGATGCAATGTTCAAAAAATGATCACAGAAAAAAAAGGAAAGAAACTGGAGAAATAATAATTATAGAGATAAAACTGTCCTTATTTTTCAATTATATGATATCAACATTGAGAATTCAAGAGACTTTGTAGACAGATTATTAAAACATACAAAAGTCAATATCATTCCTACTAATTAACAAAAAAATCAATCAATAAAATAAAGAAAAATAAGGCAAGGAGAGGTTAAGTGACTTGCCCAAGGTCACAGTTGGTAAGTGGAGTTGCTGGGATTCAAATCTATAGCTGCCCGACTCCAAATTTCACACCAGAGGTTCTGAACCCTCATTGTACATCAGAATCACTGGCGAGTTTTTACCCAGCCTCCACACCCCAGAGATTCTGATTCATTTGGTTATGAGGGGTAGGGCCCTGCTGTCCTATTTTTCAAAAGCTCCCAGGTAATTCTAAAGTCCTGAGGGGTACTTGTTAGAAATGCATGATCTCAGGTCTCTCCCCACACCTGCTAAAACAGAATCTGCATTTTAACATAACCCCTAGGTGAATTAGACACATTAAAGTTTGAGAATCATTGGCTGACAGTTCTCAAATGTTAATGTACATTAGAATCACCCAGGGGTCTTGTTAAAGCACACATTGCTGGGCCCCATTCCCAGTTTCTGACTCAGTAGGTCTTAGGTGGGGCCCAGAAATGAGGTGCATTTCTAATACGTTTCCGTGACGCTGTTGGTCAGGGGCCCACACTCTAAGAACCACTAGCTTATCTCATGCAGTTGCTATAAAGTAGAAATTTAGGTAAAAGTCATGTAGTAGTATTAAAAATGAAAAAAAGAGTAGAAAGTTAGGTAATTGGAAAAAAAAGGTAGTTTATAAAGTACACAGGGTTTTTTTTTGTTTGTTTGTTTGTTTTTTTTGAGACAGAGTCTCACTCTGTTGCCTGGGCTAGAGGGAGTGCCGTGGCGTCAGCCTAGCTCACAGCAACCTCAAACTCCTGGGCTCGAGTGATCCTTCTGCCTCAGCCTCCCGAGTAGCTGGGACTACAGGCATGCGCCACCATGCCCGGCTAATTTTTTCTATATATTTTTAGTTGTCCGATTAATTTCTTTCTAATTTTAGTAGAGGCGGGGTCTCGCTCTTGCTCAGGCTGGTTTCGAACTCCTCAGCTCAAACAATCCGCCCGCCTCGGCCTCCCAGAGAGCTAGGATTATAGGCGTGAGCCACCACGCCCGGCCAAGCACATAGGTTTTGAAGTTAGAGAAACTTAGGTTGGAATCCCCGCTCTACCCCTAACTTGGTAAACCTAGGACAGTTACTTAATGTCTGTGAACGTTTTTTCCACATTTATTAAACTATAGGTCTAACAAAGCTACCAGAATCTCACTGCAGTGAAGGTGCTCTCCTTTGATTTCAACATGCCCTGATATTGTGTTAACTATGTCTTATCCATCCCTTATTTTCAGAACCTGAGTCAAAGGTGGTGGAACTTTCTCTCCTTATGACCTTACTCAGTGGCATTAAGGGTGGCAAGCCAGGCTACTTCTGATACGGGGTTTGGGAGCTGAGTCCCAGGAAGGGTCACACGATTCCCACCGAGCTTTCAGCCTGAGGAATCTGCGATCAAGCAAGGGTATGGGGCTGCCACTGTGACTGCAATGAGCAGCCACTGGACCTCGAGTCAGACCCGGGTTCTGGGACAGGCTCTGCCCCTTTCTAGGAGGGAGACCTCGAGCAAGCCCCTTAGCTTCTCCAAGCTGGTTAAGCCATCGGTGAAATGGGATGAGCATCCTTTACTCACAGAGCAGTGGGAGCGGGCTTGGGGAGAGGCGCTATACTCGGTAAATGGGGAAGAAAACGCTTTCCGGGCTCCCCGCCGCCTTCCGGGGTCCTGGGCTCCCCGGCGCTCCGCCCCCAGGCTCCCCGCACACCGCCGACCGGGACCCACCGCGCGGGATTCCTTCCGCTTTCCCGTCCGGGTCGCCGCCGAAGCTAGAGGGCGCCTAGCTGGGTTGCCCGGGGCTGGCCGCGGCCGGATTAAGAAGCCATGGCAACGACCAGGTCTCAGTCCTCCCGCAGCGCCTGCGTCAGTGCGCAGGCGTGTTACCGCGGGCCGGGCGGAACTACAATCCCCAGAAAGCCTCGCGGGTGTCGGGCTCCGGCTTCGCAGTTCCCGGCCTGCGTCATAGGAGTCTCTTCTTCATTGAAGTTGTTCATTCAACACACATTCATCTCGCTGGACCAGGTGCCAGGCTCCTCCTCAGGCTCTGGGCCTAGACTAGTGACCAAGATCAGATGGCTCGCTGAGCTGATGGCGCCGCGGGGGAGTCTTAAGAACACAAACAAGAAAAATAGGAGACCAGCCTGAGCAAGAGCAAGAGCAAGACCCCGTTTCTACAAAAAATAGAAAACTTAGCCAGCGGTGGTGGCGAGTGCCTGTGGTCCTAGCTACTCGGGAGGCTGAAGCAGGAGAATCACTTGAACCCAAGAGTTTGAAGTTGCAGTGAGCTGTGATGACGCCACTACAATCTAGTCAGGGCCACAGAGCGAGACCCTGTCTCAAAAAGAAAAAAGCATAAAAATTCCTCTGACGCTTAAAACAGTGTGATGTGATAGTGACTGGGTGGCCTTTATTGGATGGTCAGAGAGATCCTGAGAAGGTGACATTTGCGCTGAGATCAATGACATGAAGCCAACCTTGTGAAAACTAGAAGAGAATTGCAATTAGAGGGAACAGTTTGTTAAATAAAATTTATAGGAGGCCATTGGTTTGGACTGAGCTCGTGCACTGGGCCCAACAGACCAAACCAAAATGGGGTCACTCAGGCTAAAGTTCCGCCTCACCACACAGAAACTAAGTTGTTATCTGACCTTCTGAGAAATCAAGAGAATGGGAGATAATAGGCAAATCTACAAACAGCCATTTTTAGCTGTTCTGATAAGGCAGTCCCCTCTGCTTTAACCTTTACAAGGAAAGTAACTTTGAAACAACCAATCCGCTTTTTGTTTTCTTTTTCTCCTTTCCTCTGCCCTTTTCTGTCTATAAAACCAATATGCTCTGCTTAGCTTACTAGAACACTCAAGAATGAGGGGTTACCCGATTGCCGAATCGCAAATAAAAGTCAATTAAAAAAAATTTTTTTTTTTTGAGACCTAGTCTCACTCTGTTGCCCGGGATAGAATGCCATGGCATTAGCCTAGCTCACAGCAACCTCGCACTCCTGGGCTCAAGCAATCCTCCTGCCTCAGCCTCCCGAGTAGCTGGGACTACAGGCATGCACCACCATGCCCGGCTAATTTTTTCTATATATTTTTCGTTGTCCAGCTAATTTCTTTCTATTTTTAGTAGAGATGGGGTCTTGCTCTTGCTCAGGCTGGAAGATCTTTAAATTTATTGTAGAGTTCATACAAAGGACTTGGTGGAAATCACCTTGACAATTCCAGAAAGATGGAAAGGCCAGTGAGGCTGGGGAGAGTGGTGCAGCAAGAGGTCGGAGAGGAAGCAGGAGCCAGAGCCAAGATAAGGAGCTTGGATTTCATGGATAGGAGTGCAGGCTCAGGATACAGTGCCTAGCTAGGTTCATACCTGCTGCTTGTCAACTGTATGGCTTTAAGCAAGTTAATTATTCTTTTTGTGCTTCTGTTTCGTCATCTAATACTAGAAGTGCAGTGATAGGCTGTCAAAGGGGAGTGACATGATTTTATTTACATTGTAAAAGGTCACTCTGTATATCCTTGGAAAAGTCACTTAACTTCTCTCAGCCTCAGTTTCCTCATTAGGAAAATAAAGATAATGTCTATCTCGGAGAATGGTTGTAAGATTTGAGTGACCTTCATTAATTTGTGAAGGCACCTGGAGAAGCTCAATAAGAGTTAGGTTTCTTTCATTCCTTCACTGTCATTCATTCATTGATTTCCATCTCCCTCAGGAGCCTTCTTTTTTTTTTTCTTTTTGGAGACAGGGTTTCGCTCCATCGCCCTCGAGTAGAGTGGTGCTGTGGCATCGTCATAGCTCACTGCAATCTCAGACTCCTGTGCTTAAGTGATCCTCCTGCCTCAGCTTCCAGAGTAGCTGGGACTACAGGTGCATCCCACCACGCTGGATGATTTTTTCTATTTCTTGTAGAGATGAGGTCTTGCTCTTGCTTGGTTAGGGTGGTCTCAAACTCCTGATTTCAAGCAATCCTCCTACTTTGGCCTCCCAAAGTGCTAGGATTACAGGTGTGAGCCACCACACCCAGCTGGGAGCCTTCTCTTTTTACCAGTGATCACAGTTGGTGTCTTCTTATCCTAAAAATAAAATTTCCCTTCTCCATGCAAGCTACTGTTCTCTTTTCCATAGTCGAGCTTCTTAAGAGAGGCCTCTATAGGAGCAGTCCCCAAGTGTGATCCCTTTTCCAGCTAATATCTGTATGAGACTGGATATTCTTCATGTCCTTCAACCGAAACAAGATGTCGCAATGGATTGAATGCAGACGCAGTCATGAGAATCCAGCTGTCTTCTATTATGACATATTAAAGAGACTTGCAACAGTAGAAGATGAGGTCATTCTTCTAAATTTTTTCTTTGGGAAAATAGTTATTAAAAATATGTATGTTAATGAGTTTATTTTTGAATGAATTAATATAATTTTAATTTCTAAAATGATAAATATTAATATATGTAGCCCACATAAACACAAGCTGTTAGAAGTTTTCAACCATTTTTAGGAGTATAAGGGGTTGGAGACTGAAAAGTTTGAGAATTGCTGCTCTCTTCTGAGGGCTTCCCCTTTCTCACACCAACTACTCAACTCACTGTCATCAGGTTCTACTCCTACGACTCCACCAACTTCTTTGGCAGAGGTTACTAATGGCATCCTTATTCATAAAACCTATATCCTCTTTCTTAGTCTATACTTCTGTGATCCTGCTCCTTGGTATTTTCTTCTGGGCATTGCATCATTTGTCTTCACTTATTTTTCTGATTGCTTCTTCTCCATTTCTCTCTTTTTGACGGCACTTCATTCTCCTGCTCTCTAAACGTGTGTGCTTCCTTTGGGGCCACACTTCCGGCTGCACCCTACGTGATCATAGCTGTCTCCATGCTGTGCTACACTGCTGCTTCCAGCTCAGGTCTCCGTTTTCCAACTGTCTGCTGCTTATTCTCACATCTCTTACTGGTACTTGAAACTCAGCATGTCTACAAGACAGATTCATCAAGTCTGTCCCAAATCAGCTGCTGCTCTAATTTTTCCATTTCTGTGGTTGCTACCACCATTTTTCAGCTACCTAAGTTGGGCACCTTGAATAACCTTGACAACTTCTATAATTTCTTGATTCCCCCATACCTGTCACAGTCACTGGGCCTGTAAATTCTCTGAAGTGTCTCATCCTTCACTTACCTTTTTATTCTGACTCCTCCCATCCTAGTTGAGACCTTCTTTCTCTCACTTAATTCCTTATAAAAACCATCTCACTGGTCTCTGTGTCTCTTATTATCCTTTGCCAATAGATTCAAAAATGCAGTTCTGATCTTATCATTTACCTGCTAAAAATATTTTCAATGAACTAGCAGAGTGAAGGTTCCAATGCTGACATTGAAGGCTTCCATTATTTGATTCCGGCCTAGCTTCCAGCTGGATCTCACTCAGGTTCTCTACCCAAACTCTCCAACTAGTGTTTCTTTTCTTTTTTTTTTTTTTTTGAGATAGAGTCTCACTCTGTTGCCCAGGCTAGAGTGCCATGGCGTCAGCCTAGCTCCCGGCAACCTCAAACACCTGGGTTCAAGCAATCCTTCTGCCTCAGTGTCCCGAGTAGGTAGGACTACAGGCATGCACCACCATGCCCAGCTAATTTTTCCTATATATTTTTAGCCGTCCAAGTAATTTATTTCTATTTTTTAGTAGAGATGGGGGTCTCACTCTTGCTCAGGCTGGTCTCTAACTCCTGACCTCAAGCAATCCACCCTCCTCGGCCTCCCAGAGTGCTAGGATTACAGATGTGAGCCACCGTGCCCGGCCTCCAACTAGTGTTTCTTAAAGTGTGATGGGCACCAGTACCTCAGCATTATCTGGAGTGCTTATTACCCCAAACCCAGACCTACAGAATCCAAAGTAGAACCTAGGAATCTGCACGTTGGGCAATGCACACTAAAATTTGAAATCCTTTGTCCTACCCTCTAGTCAGACCCAGCCAATCAGCAATCTGCAGACAGCGCTACACTCTTGTATCTGCCTTTGATACCTCAGCTGGGAGTGATGCCTCTCTTTTGACCCCTATAGCATATTGCTCTCATCTTTCCTAGTTTGCTTGTTGCATGAGATCTGCCACAGTTATTTACCTACCTCCCCCACTAGTCTCCTCAGTGTTGGGGCAGGGAGAAGACCGTAGGAGGCCCAAATGCTTCCTGCTGTAAACCACAGTTGCTGCAGGAACACCAGTTATATGAAATAGGGATCTGAATGAAGATAGTTGGGCTGCAGTGGGCATGGAAAGGAGGGATGATTGTTAAAGACCAATGAAAAGAGCCCATCAAAATCCTCAGAGGCTGTCCGGGGGGCGCGGTGGCTCACGCCTGTAATCCTAGCTCTCTGGGAGGCCGAGGCGGGCGGATTGTTTGAGCTCAGGAGTTCGAAACAAGCCTGAGCAAGAGTGAGACCCCGTCTCTACTAAAAATAGAAAGAAATTAATCGGACAACTAAAAATATATAGAAAAAACTAGCCAGGCATGGTGGCACATGCCTGTAGTCCCAGCTACTCGGGAGGCTGAGGCAGGAGGATCGCTTGAGCCCAAAAGTTGGAGGTTGCTCTGAAAAAAGATGACGCCACGGCACTCTAGCCCAGGCAACACAGTGAGACTCTGTCTCAAAAAAAGAAAAAAAAAATCCTCAGAGGCTGATTACATTCTGGAATGTGGATGGAAGGAGGAGGAATCAGCGAGTTAAATTTTTACACTGGGTACCCAAAGAGATTGATAATAATAAGAGGGTGGGGTTGGGGTCGATGCCTGTGGAGGAAATCTCATTCTTTGGCTACTGCTCAGCAACTGAACTCCTCTCCCATGATTGGGGAAATCTGACATTCTGTGAATTTCAGTGAGAGGTGGAGTTTTGCTTCCCACAACAGGTGATTTAAAGGCCAGATATTGTCTGTGATCCTTGTCAGCTATGGTGTGGGCTTGTGACGTAAACTTAGGCATTATTAGACTTTAAATCTGGAGCAAGCAACACAAACCAGCAGGAAGTGTGTAGGCCTCATCCTGGTGTGGCCTTTATCCAGTACCTCGTTCCTGGCGGTGGTGCTGGTGCCGGAGTTCTGTTTCTCCTGCTGCTGACCTTCCTTGGTTCGTGGCCCTTTTCTGATGGTTCTCTAGTCTTCCTGACAACTCTTTGAGTTGCCTGATGGTCTTTCCACAAATTTCTTTTCTATTTAAATAGCTAGAATTGGTTTCAGTTTTTTCGCCACCAAAAACCCTGCCCCTAACATTTCAAGACAGAGCCTACTTGAAATTTCATTCCAGGAGCCTTGAATTTCTCTCTTCCCTTCAGATAAGCTCCATTGTGGTTCTGGATCACAAAATCCTGAGAGCTAGGGTGGACTTCTAGGTCACCTGCTCCCCACCTCACCACCCAGTGCCCACATCCCCTCCACAATGTCCTGTAGATGCTCCCCTAACCCCTGCATTTCTTTGCCAGCTGATCTATTCCATAGTTAAAAAGCTTTTCCTATTTTATTTTTTTGCTTAACCATTTATTTAATTTTTATTGTTTTTTTTTTTTTTTTCCAAGACAGGGTCTTACTCTGTTTCCTGGGTTAGAGTGCTGTGGTGTCATCATAGCTCACTGCAACCTCAAACTCCTGGGCTCAAGCGATCCTTCTGCCTCAGCCTCCCAAGTAGCTGGTTCTATAGGTGCGTGCCACCATGCCCAACTAATTACTAAATTTTTTTAAAAAAGTCCTGCCCAGTTATGACAATGAAATGGGAAACCACAATTACAATTCACAAACTGTGGCATGAAAAATAACACACATCCCATCAGGAATTACACCAAACCCTTTCGTTTTTATTCATTCAAAAGAGAGTCCAATGCATAAGTGTCAAACATGAGCACCGTCATTTTTTTTCTTAGAAGGGGGAAAAACATTGACTCTGGGAGATGCTTCCAGTTTTTTTCATGGAAAACTATCCTGTCCTATTTTATATTATATTTAATTTAAAAAGCTTCTTCATGCCTTTACTTTAGTGAAGTAAACGTACTAAGTAAATAAAAGTGACTTCGGTTCTAGACGCTGGAGCTTGAGGGACGTGGAACATCTCAGGGAAGTGGGCCTGCAGCCTGAGGCGGGGGGAGCAGCACAGAGGTGACGGTGGAGGGTGATGGCATCTCTGAAAACAGCCATGCTCAGGATAAGGAGTAGGGTGAGGGTGAAAAATAGAATGAGAGTGAATGATAAGGAAAAGAAATGGGGGAAAGGCCAGGGATGAAATAAGGACCATCTGGCAATTGACCTGGTCATTTTGACAGACTTTAAAACGGCTGCATGGAACTGTGTCCCACACAGGGCAGTCCTCGGTCAGAAGGCACTGAGGGAGAGAAGAGGTGTGGCCAGTGATACAGTGACAGCCGCAAAGGCCAAAGGTGGAGAGGGTTTTAGGAAGAGAAGGGTGTTTACAGGGCCAAGAGCTTTCAAAAAGCCATGGAGAATGGAGAGGGGAAAAGGCTATTGGATGTGGCAACCGGGGCCTGGAGACCTGGGATCTGTGCAGGGGTGTGGGAGGGAGGGTGAGGCAGCCAGCAAATGTGCAGCGCTGGCCCACGGCCGGGAAGCCGGTGAGTGAATGGAGAGGAAGAGATGAGCAAGACCCATGAAGATGGAGAGCAGCAGCCGTGGAGAAGCAGGGGCCGCAGGTGGGAAGGTGTGGGAGCACTTGCAGAGGAGGAGGAGATTCTCAGCAGCCGCTCACTTCTGAAGCAGAAGGAGGGCTGGATGCCGAGGGAGGAAGGGCATGGATCAGAGATTCAGGTAGAGAGGAGAGGTGCAGGGCAAATGCAGACACAATACAGGTGGTCGCTTCTTGTTTGTTGTAACCTAAGCTGAGTGGTCTTGAGACTATCTGGAGAATCTGAGCCAAACGTCCTCAGCCGACACCAGGGCTTCCCCTGGAAAATCTGCAGGCCTCAATATTTCAAAGGGAAGTTGGTAGCTTTGTAAAGAGAACGAAGGGCAGAGTGGTCTGAGGCCATTGTGCACACCTAGCCCTGGGTCCTGTCCCCTGCACTGCTGGGACTGTGCTTGTGGAATGCCTTCATCAGGCCTCATGCAATTGGGGTTTCATGCCATTTGGGGAACTAACAGAGAGGGGAATGTTATTTCATCAGCAGAGGGACCACTGGCCAGAAACAAAAAGAATCTAGAATATACATGTGTGTGGTGGTGGCAGTGGTGGGGAGCATTAAGGTAATCAAATAATCCAAAATAATTTCCACTGACCTTGGGAAGGCATCTTGACATTTTTACTTGAAGGAGTGAGTTATTATCTGAGAATTTTTTTCACACCAAATCAGGAAGCTATGCAGGGAAGACTCAACTGTAGAAGGGTTTCCTTATCCCAGCTCCTGTGACTCCCTCTACTGTCATCGGTCCAGGAATTTAGCAGCTGCAAAGGAGTTATCCAGCGCATAATTTAAGGGAGTAAGAGGTAGGTAGAGGTTGTATTAGTTTTCAGATTTTAATTGAGATTTTAATTGGGATATTCGAGATTAGGTATTATGCTAACTATATATATTTCCTAAAATTTGCATTTCTCTTTCTACGGTTTCTTGTGGCTCGACTTGGTGCAAAACTATACCAGGACATACACCAGCAGAGTGACAAACCAGATGGCTGCAGACCAGATGGTCAGGGATGAGGGAATCTGATCTGGTATAGATCTGGGTATCTCCAGGATGTAGCTATCACGCTGAAGTTTGTTTCTCTCCTACTGGGATTTAGATAAGGACAAAAGTGAGTTGTGTTTTTAAAAATTGTTGGATACTTATGTGGACTACACAGGATGACTTTCTTCTGAGAATTGGGGGAAAATACATTTCCCTCCCTTTTTATTCCTCCCTCACTCTTGATTTTTATTACCTCTCTCTTCTAGGAGCCATTAAAATCCTTTGCCTTTTGGCTTTCCTATAGCTTTGCCTTACATCATCTGTAGGGCATCCTGACATTCTAAGAATGGGTAAGACTCCAGTTCTCAGGGCCCACCTGGGGCAGGGCCTAGGAATCTGTAAACTCAATAACTTACCTGGGCCATCTGGATTTGAGCCTCTCAACTAGTTCCTTCTCTTTCTTACAGATGAGGGAACTGAGGCTTGCTGAGGGTAACTGGGCCAAAAAGACATGGTGATTTGGGGCAGGGATGGGACCAGAGTGCAGTGTCCTGTTCTGACCATGGTGCCTTCCCCTAAAGAGGATGTTATACCAGCCATTGTGGTGTGACACCCTTGTGCCCCTTTGGCATGGTTCTAACCACACTGATGCGTGTTTAGTACTTAGTCCACATCTTAGGCAGAGTAATCCTTCTCTTTCCTTTGCCTCCTCCTGGCTCCCATGGTTTCTCTGGATGCCCTGAACCACCATGCAAATAAACTTGTTCTTCTCAATACATGAAACTCACAGATTGCCTCATCACAGAGCTTCCTTACTAGATGCATTTGAAACCCTCAGCACTGCTCTGGGATGGGTTGGGGAGGAGGCTGTTACTGCTTCCCGGCAGCCCACGGCCCACCCTCAAGGCCCCAGGACATGCTCAGAGCAGACAGTGAAGTTCTGATTCCTGACAGTGAGGTGGGAGCCAGGCTCAAAACAGGACAGAACCTTCCCCTTCATCTGTCACCCAGTCAGGCCTCCCAAATGGTGGCCAAATTGCTTAAAAGAGACTAAAACAGAAGGCACTTTGTACGTCTGCTGCAAGAGGTGTTTTATAGTATGATACGCTTTTCCTTCCCAGTAGACCTTTTGCAGGGGTAGGGGGTGTGCCTGCTCAGCAGACCTATAACTCATCCATCATGGCCAGCAAATCATCCCCCTTGCTGGCGCTCGACCTTGGCTGCTCTGTGATCTCAAACTCCCCCATGATCCGAGCCAACTCTTTGTTCCGTTGCTGGTCCTGTCAGAGAAATAGAGGGGAAAGCGAATGAAGAGGATGTTTCGGCACGGTTGTCTCTTTGTGTAGTTAGATATTTAATTTTTTGCCCCGCCACTGTGATGCATTTCAATTGCTCACCTGTTTGTTACAGGCTGGTTAGAGAAAAAAAGGGGTCTTTGAAGTTCAAGCTTATTATAAGATGAGGAGGGGTATAAGATTTAATGCTGTGTAATCCTTGGTACGCACCTGAATAGCTTGTATGTTGATAACTTCATAGGATAACTCTTCTGGTCTGGTTAGTGCTGCTTGTCTGGATGAGATGGTAAAGAAATGGGTCCAAGTTAGGGCGTTCCCTGCTAGCATGGCAAACTGGCTCTTGGCAATTTGGCAACCTGTTTTTTCTGCCTCATCTTCTGCCACTGCCCTTCAACTCTCTACCCCATCTCCAACCAATGCACCCTACCCTCCAGGAAGTCAAGTTCTTTTAAGTCTCTGTTCCTTTGCACATGCTAAACTCTGCCAAGAATGCTTTTCCCCTTATCTACTTGGCAAACTCTAAGACCCAGATCAAATGTCATGCCTTCAATTTGCCAGTGCAGTCACCATCTCCTCGATCAGAGCATTCATGACATGGCACTGAAATCACTAAGTACATGTTCATTCTCCCACTAAGCAGGGAGCTTCCTGAGGACGGGCTCCAGGTCTTACACTCCATTTTTGTGCCCTCAGCACTTAACATAGTACCCACCACACAGAAGTAAACAAAAGAAGTTAGTTCAATGAATGGGGAAATAGAAGACAATGCTCACCCCAAATATTTGGTTGTGAGGAGGATCACATGAGATGATGCTGTGGTCCCCAACCCCCAGGCCACAGACTGGTAGTGAACCCCTACTATAAACTGCGCATGTGAGGGATCTAGGTTGCGTGCTCCTTATGAGAATCTAATGCCTGATTATCTGAGGTGGAGCTGAGGCAGTGCTACTAGTGCTGGGGAGCGGCTGCAAATACAGATTATCATTAACAGAAGTTTGACTGCACAATAAATGTAATGTGCTTGAATCATCCCAAAACCATCCCCTTTCCCCCGGGTCCATGGAAAAATTGTCTTCCATGAAACTGGTCCCTGCTGCCAAAAAGATTGGGGACCACTGACTAATAATGCATGCAGAAATACTCTGTAAACTGTTAAGAACTGTATAAATCTTGGTGAATTACTATTGCTATCAGTTTTTGGTGAGACTGTCTAATCCCAAAGAAATCAAGCTCCAACCTCCCTGTTTCTTAATGGACTTTTCTTAATATGGTCATCTTGGTTTGTAATATTGCTTGTTCAGCTGTGCTCTGCTAGTAAAACATTAGAACTCTTTGTTTGAATGACTGCAGAATGTCCAAGCCATCTAATCCTGGTGGATTCTTTACCTAGGTTATTGAATTTGTTGGTATTTCATTTGTGATTTCCACATTTGTATTTATAAGTGTCACTGCTTTGTAATTGTCATTTTGGGTTTTTATCACACTTGGGATTTTCATATATGCCTTTAAAGAAACAGGTTTAAAACATACTCCTCTTCTTCATCGGTGGTAAAGAGATTCAACCGGAATCCTGGCTCTGGGCCACTGGGTTTCTTAATCTCCATCCCTCCCATCAGCCTGGCCAAGAAATTCAGTTCTTCTTTAGCAAGAGGGTTGGGAGCAATGCTTTCCTGCAGAAACAATTGCATGATTTTTAGCCACATAAAGGTGATCACATTTCCTGCTAAGACCCAAGACCCAGGGAGGTATTATAAAATGAGGCAAAACAATAACTTCAAATTATTTTTGGGTCCAAATAAAGTATAGAAAGCCACCTTAACCAAAGGAGAGGGAATCCAGCAATGCAGCAAGCCAAAGATTTTCATACTTTCAAGATGAGTGGAGGGCCCCAGGGATCCACACTTCCCCTCAAACTACCTTCCTCCTTGAAGGGGAAGAACATTGCTTCCTCCTCCATCACCCAGTTCCCTCAGCATTTAAAGAGCCTCAGTTGAGTCTCCCACCGCACTCACTCCGAGGCGCTGCCACACTGCCCTCAGGCGGTGGCGGTCGGGAACACACCCTCGTGTCCATTCCCTCCTCTCACGGGTCCTCGCCCCACTTCACCCTTGGCCCTTCCTTTTAACCCAGCCTTCCCTTGCTCTGTCTGTCTCCTCACTCTGCCACCAGTTATCTAAAATACAGTTCTTGGCTCATTTCTCCCTGGCTGGAAACAAACCCCTCTGCCTCCTGTCTAAAGTACAAAGTCCAAATTGTTTAAGCCCCTTCCTAATCAGGCCTCGGTGTCCCTGTCCAGGCAGGCCTCTGCCAGCGGCCTCAATTAGCTACGATCTAGCTGCGTGGGAGAGGCGCCACTTGCCCGCTTCCCTGAGCACTATGTGCTCTGCCTGTCTGTGTCCCTGCTCATCCTGTTACCTCGGCCTGCATGCCCATTTCTCCTCTGCTATTTAGCATCTTACCCACTTTATTTGTTTGTTTATTTTTGTTGAGCCTGGGTCTCACTCTGTTGCCCAGGCTAGAGTAGGGGGCATCATCATAGCTCACTGTAGCCTTGAGCTTTGTGCCTGAGCGGGGACTATAGGCACGCGCCACCTTGCCTGGGTAATTTTTAAAGTTTCTGTAGAGATGGGGTCTTGCTATGTTGCTCAGGCTGGTCTTGAGTTCCTGGGCTCAAGTGATCCTCTCACCTCAGCCCCCCAAAGTGCTGGATTACAGGTGTGAGCCACTGTGCCTGGCCTTATTTTACCCACTTTAGAGGCTCACTTTGATGTCCCTTCCTCTGAAAAATCTTCTTAATCCTGTCCCCTGCCACCCACCCCACTGGACAGAACATATGTTCTTCTGGAACAGCACTTTCTTCAGAATACCAGCTAGCCCTTCTTCTACCTTGTTATAGTTATTTGCTCCTCTTGCTATCTTTCCCAGGGTACTATAAGCCCCTTCAGGATGGGACCATATCTGTCAGCTTTGTGTCCCTGGGTACCCAGCCCATATAAACAGTTTAATAGATGTTTGCTGAATAATTGAATATTCCATGATTTGTCCTATAGCTAGCTGGGAGCTAGTTCAGTGAAAATTTGTAAAGATGAAATTCAGAGAAAATAAAACCCTACTTGAACTTAGCTACCACATTACTATGTAGGGAAGCATTAAAAAGAGATGTTTTAATGATCAAAATCACACAAGTGCTGGAGTCAGCAACCACGGACCTAATGGCACTGGTACAATGCTATTTCACATGTCCTGGTGTGTGGTTCCTGCTTAATTATGGTGGTTGAGCCAAGCCTAAAATTACCTAATTAGTGAGATCAGTGGAAGTCTACATGAACAGCTACAATTAAAAACCTGCATACTTGTAAGGCTGAATGGAGAAGACTGCAAACAATGAGAGAAATGTTGGCTAGCTTTGAAATCCACAGAATTCCCACCCTTCCATCCAGGCAGATTTCTGTGTCTAGAAAGAAGCTCCGAGGATTGGGGACGGAGACAGAAGCTCACCTGTGTCCGTGAGGCTAAGTTCTTCGATGCTCCAGACATATGGGTTTCCACAGGCCGATTCACGCTGTACCTAATGTCAACAGAAAATGGTGACATTATCCAGTTCCTTTCCACTGACTTCCTTCTGACTCATAAATATAGTTCATAGTTTTTATTTTGAGATGTTACATTGCGTCCAGAAAGGTGCTGTGAGTACAGAATACAACTAAATGGGTGTTAACCACACAAATTTCCCTTCTTCCCAAAGGAAAATACCTGGGGAAGCTGTGTGGAAACGCTCCCTCTCTTAAAGGGCAACACGATCACTGAAAAGACATGAGCATTACTTGAAGGCTAAGTATTTCTGGATTTCCATTGCAACAGAGGTTTTGGCTAATTCTCTTTCATGACTATTTAAAATTATATATCTTCACCCTGTTGAGTCGCCTTATGTTTGGAGTCTGTGGGTGCCCTTTGAAAATGTCAGGGCCCTGCATGCATTGTATCTCAGGGCAATTACTCCAATCGTCAGCAGGGATTTTTCACAGCAGAAGACAGGCTCTTTTTTTAAAATGAAGTGACCTCCTTTGCACTTGAATTCATCCAGGGAAGGAGAACTGCTTACATGTTATTTCCCAGTTTCAGGACTCGGTCTCCATGAAGTTCAAAAGAACCTTCTCTGAGTGCAGCGACATAGTTTCCACCGTGTTTGAATTCTATCTTCCTTATTTCTTCGCCTTTCTTGTTGAACATTCTACACACAATACAAAGTATGACATGATGGAATGTTCTCCAAGCTTAGGTAGTCCTGCAGGTTTCTTTGTACTATAGAACAAAAAGGAATTCATGCGTCCCTTCAAGATAAAGATATTGGTTGTGATAATAACAGTAATACAATTAACAATAATATTTATTGAGCATATGTTATGTGCCAAGTGCTATGTAAGCAGTTTAGAGCACTATTATCTCATTCATCCTCACAGTAAACATTTTTTTTTTTTTTTTTGAGACAGAGTCTTGCTCTGTTGCCCAGGCTAGAGTGCTGTGGCATCAGCCTAGCTCACAGCAACCTCAAACTCCTGGGCTCAAGCGATCCTTCTGCCTCAGCCTCCCGAGTAGCTGG